GGGGCAGTGGTGATCCAGCTTTTCGGCGGATGACAATCAATTGCCCGCCTGCCAGTACTGGCAGAAATTAAGGCGTCTTTGATGCGCACCTATTGCGAATACAGACCATCATCAGAGGATGAAGCAAGCAGTGTTGACAGAGTATTTTGGTACTCGACTATCGTCGCAGGATGTTGTAGATTTTCGACGTTCGGTCGGTAGTGCGTACGTCTAAATGATCCTCGGAAAAGCATGCAAATCTTGGCGCGAACGAGTGTGATCGGTGTCCAGACAAGTTGACCAGTACGAGCAGTAATCTGCTACGCTTCCGCGCCATCTGTAGCTAATTGCTATGTGGTCAAACTTGGAACAGTGGCGTTTCAGAAGGCGGACGCCATGTGGCAGACTGTCTTTTCGGATGTCGAAAAGTGATGCGCGAAAGAAACAAGCGATGATCGGAGCAGAGTCAGTAGTCTGTCTCCATTGTCTGATCGACTGCTACCGAGGCGAAAACTATCCACAAGATGGTGCTCGCTTGGTGGCAAGTGGCCCACACGTGTGTTAAAATCTTCGGCAAGGATAACAATGTCAGACATTTTCGAGGAGGTCATGTAGCTGTTGGTAAAAGCAATCCTTGACTGCATCCGGGTTGCAATCTGTAGCAACATAGGCGGAGATGGCAAAACAAAGCACGCGTAACATTTCGGCGCTTACTTAAGTTACTTTAATATCATAGTCTGACTGCAAATGACTGACTGTTGACTGGAATCCAGTCAAGCAAAGCGGCCTCAGTCCTGTTACACAGTGCAACTCCAACACCCGCTTGCCCGGAAGCGGCGACATTTGGGTCTCCGGAAAGGCGCAAGTGGTATTTGACGTCAGGGTTTTCCGGAAAGATCGTTGTGATGACGCTAGTGGCGTCTTAAAAGCTGGTTTCGGAAAGGCAACGGATGTCCACCGAGAGTGTCTCAAGGGTGCGAGCCAAGCATACTTGTCATCCAATCTGCATCAGAGTGCGCAAGGCCGAGTGGAGAACCAGGTGGAAGGAAAGCTTGGGCTTCAGTGGTGTTAAAATGTCGTGACCACCAGGTAAAGAACAGCAAAAGTTTGCATCAGAACTCTGTCAGATGCGACCAGTAAGCTGTTGTTGATGCTGGGAAAGACACTGAGGTAGTTAAGGAACGGAACATGGGACGATCTGTGAGCGGATGTTGAGCACTGGAGACAGGATATCCAGTAGACATAGCAATGAAAGCAGCAGTATAATCCATCTATGCATGGTTCGTCAGTAGGCGTGATAGTGACCGGTTACCCAGGCCAAAGTAGAGGGTTGTCTTACGGAACCTCACCCCGAGCCTTTGAGCTAAGGATCCAACCTACAAGACAGTAGGGCGATATGAGGGTATCGCAACCGGTTGGAAACTGGTGACAAAACAGTTGGTACATACGCATTTCGGTCCGTGAAGGACCAGAGACCCAATACACCCTCGAATTACAATGCCAGAGAGGCAAGGAGCAGTGACTTTATTTAGTGGTGAGTCACATCCGCCACGTCACAATGTTGTTAAACGGAGATATGTGGTTTCTTATAGGGAGAGCGCTTGGTGGGCGAAAGCGCACCAAGTCCTGGAACACTGCTGCCGAACGACTCGCTGGAACGGGATAATCCTGGACCACCCAGCTAGCCCACGAGGTTGTTCGGCAAGCCAGCTCGTCTTGCGTTCTCTAGGCTGAGGCATTCATGGCGCCGCCATGACAACCGTCTTGCCAGCAAAGGGCGGGTGTATAGTGCAACCGTCCACGCTGTACTGTTGCGAGACGGCCTGCTCGTACCGAAGATCTGCGCCGACTGTCTGTCTTCGAGAACCGTTGCTTGTAGTCCATCGCTCGTGTGTGGTGGCTACACCACCTGACCAACGTTGAAGTCAGACAGCGTGTCTTGGGTGGAGGCAACCACTCCCTCGAGGCGCTTGTCTCGCTGCGCCAACTATGGTAGCTGGGATAGGTACTGCGTATGCTCATTCAGCCTCTTCCGCGTCATACCTTGTTCGCAGTAGCTGGACAGGACTGGAGGAGACGGTGTGATGGACAGCCTACAACTTCAAGAAGCAGGATGAAAAAGCGGACGAAACAACTGGCCTCTTTGGGTTCTTCGCGACTCCCTGGATGCGGTCTCAAAGATGCTGAGTGCCGCTGGTTGGAAACCTTGGAAGTCATGGCCCAAATCGAATCCAGTGGCTGTCGTGTATCTCTGCTTGTTGCGGTAATCCCCTTCTCTCCCCCAGTAAAAACATCCGAAAAACTCAAAAACTGTGATTGGGACAAAAAATTGATTGTTATCTTCCTTCTTTTGCCCTTATCCCATTTTCCTATTCCGCCATGGTTCCGATGGCACAATATCTGTAGGTAAATTTTGATCAATATTATATATATAACTGCGAACCCAGGAGACCTACTATGTGACTTGGAATATGCAGACGACATCGTGAAACTCCGTGATTATTCATGGGCCGCTCAAAATGTGCTGTGTAGATTGGAGGTATCCGTCTCCTAGCTAGGAATAACATTCGCCCTATCGAGATGTAGTCTTAGTGCAGGAGTGGCCATGAACTGCTCCTTCTCTCACCACTGCGGGTCATGCTTTGTGGGTAGTAGAAAGGTTCGTTTACCTCGGAAACTGTCTCAACACTAACGGTCTAACGGATGAGGTCCCTTTGCGCGTCTCATCATCATCATCATCATCATTGTACACGTTAGGTGCAGGTGGAAAAAACCGCAGCTATTGTGCCGTAATATGAGAGAGAATAAAAAAAAACATGAAACAGAGGCACGCCGGCTGAGTCAACAGTAACGGATGGACATCGTTCCGGAGAGTTAACAGCTCGCTATTGTGCCGTAAAGTAGTCATATTATCCCTAATGATTGAGATCGTAATTGGAGTGGCAGGCTAAGTAAGAGGGAGAAGAACAAAGAAACTTACAATACAAACGCCACAGAGGTCGGCTTCTAGCCATGTCAACAAGTGTATCCAGACTAACGTGTTCATTGTCTTTCGGTCCCCGACCAGGAAACCGAGAGGCTCCAACCGACGCCAACTTCAATGTAAGGGCCTACATTGCTCTTGACCAAGTCATCGCTGGGCCACCTCACTTCTTCTTCCATCCATAAGCCCGGCGCGCAAACAACGCACGTCGCGCGAGCCGGTGGGCTAGAATGCGTAACACGTGGCTCAGCCATCGGAGCGTGGTGCGTGAAATAACGGTGCTGAGCGGTTCGCTTCTTCCTCCTGCGCCATAAACAAGGCGTTGAACACGGTGCTCTCGGCTACCCGGCTGAAGGCGCAAGGAACACGAACACACATGTCCTGAAACCCTCTCGGACATGGTAAGAAACTGTGCATAATGGCGAGTATGTCGTGATACTCCACTCGCAAAACTACAGTGTTTTCCTCTCTCTTCATTCGCAATGTGGTACCATACCAATTGTACTATTGGTCAAGTGCTCATAAGCATAACTGTTTCGATGGCCAGTCTGTTGACCCTGGTTTAGGGTGTGTAGAGAGGCCATGGTAACGGAGCAGATCAGCGACTCGGAAATCGTGCATCAAGACACCAACGGAGTATCTGGATGCTTTCTGTTTGTATTCGCGCCACACTGCTGTTGCCTGGTGGTGCCACCAACTGCTGTGTCCACCAGCTAGTTTCCATAAGTAACTCATGTAGTCCCATCCTTTACTGTCTGTTGGGCTTGAAATGCCTATTTTTCATCATGTTCGTTATATGCCAACCTAATATTTCGGATCATTTCGTTTTCCGACGCAGTTTCTTATTCAGCACACCAATGAAGCAACCGGTTTACGCCTAGCGCATAATGTTTTATGGATAAGCTCAACCGCATCAGTGGTAAACAATCCTGTATGACGTGGTGCAGATGAAATATCTTTGACACTCGTTAAGCTCCTTGTTTAACTGTTGTTCATTCAACCTAACAAGAACAGTATCTTTACAATCCATTAACCAGCATTACCGCAATCACAGCAGAGTAAGAAAAGCACACACGGTGGTTTACCATCCACCTGGCAATAAAATACAAATTCGCTGACCAAGTCTTGCCATCACATCTCTGCCTGGTTGGAGATCAGAGGACGAGGAGTGCCGATGGCTGGAAAAGATTCAGAATATGGCTCGTAATCAAGACCAGTAGACGATCTGTGTACATAATGGTTTAGACTCGGATGCTTAACGGTCGAAAAAAACAAAAAATGGTATGTGCAAAAAAATAAAGGATTCGTTTTTTCGTGTATTGCAGCACAATAGCTGTGTTTCTTACCTTCAGTTAATGTGCCATGATGATGGTACGGTGTTAAACCTGTCTTCTTTTAGTGATTTCCATGTCGATTTAATAGACTGCTGCCTATACTACTACTACTACTACTAGCAGAGGAAGTGGAGACAAATTACTCAATACACACTGGACTGGAGCTCATGCATGCACTCAGTGTGGAGCGGACCACGGTCCAGCACGGCCTTGTGTGCGACTGAGTCCCAAGTACAGAGTGCTTACTTTTGCTTGTAAAGAAGTGTGGGCCGCCTCCGTTGATGAAACGTGGGTCCCATCCACATACCTCCCTCTCTTATTCCTTCATGAGTACACTGGAAATGTGGTGTGTGGATGGAGATGTGAGTGGTGCAGCGCAAGCCACTCATGGTCCCTCTGTAGACGCAGGCGTCCTATGGAGGTCGCAGGGACAGGCAAATCTGGAACCGGATGCTTCCAACCATATAGGTGACTGCGGAAATTAATACTGATTAAGGGAATGTAAAGATACATATATACGGTCGATGAAGGTCACATATAGCGTATCTGCCAACTAATGTGGCGGACAAGTGATAATATTGTACTCAAAACGAGTACGCCGGTTGGTAAAACAACAACCAAATTCGTAGGCTGAAACCTTGGGACTGAACGAAGAACGAAAAAGAGAGAACAAGGAGTGTGTGTAAACACAATTTATCAACACCTCAATAGAGAAATGACCATCTGGGTAGAGACCGAGACGCACTCGTGGATGAGAACAAGGAGGTGCGAATGTGGCTGTAATGTGTATAAATATATAAGAAGTAGATTCGGCGAACCCTTCAAGGAATCTCCAGTAGCTCTTGAGGAAGGGTGTTCTTCGGATGCTTATTTTCAAAGTGCTGTTTAAACGTTTTCAAATCGGGCATCTGGCTTTTACACACCGGGCACGAGTAGATCAACGCTTTGCTAGCTGACTTCTTTTGATCAACAGTGTTCTTTTTCATTTCTGCTTGTTTCTTGGCATTCTTTTGCTGAGCTTGAATCTTCTGTTGACCACGAGCCATTTCGTTGGCTACAAAGTGAGGACAGACACAATGACACAATGAACGAGAAGGTATAAAGTAGGGACCATAGTCTAACAAGTGAACAAATCAATTAGAGGCAAATGCGTACGAGAGCGCCCGAGCATGACAAAGTTTGAGGTTAGCGCTTTCATCATAATTTTACAAATTACATAGGGATTAGAAACACCCCGGCTATTGTGCCGCAATACAATTTAAGCAGGTGGCAGTAAAAAGAACAAAAAAACAACGCATATCAAAAACCATTATTATGCTGTTTTATATAATGCATTCAGCAACAAAATCGTGGTTGGAGGGAGACGTAAGGGTGATGGGACGGGATAAAAAAAATCCAACGCAGGTCCCATTGAAGTTTATTCTTCGCGATATTGGCAAGTACATCAAACCAAACGCGTTCATCGTCTTTAGGATCTCAATCAGGAAGTCGGCAAACTCTAACACAAGACAACTTCGTAGAAAGTGAATTCATTTTTCCTGACCAGGTCACTGACCGGCCACCTCTCCTCTTCTTCCATCTACACCCCGGTCGTGCAAACGGCGCACATCCCATGAGCTGCTCTAGCGCAAGCGTAGCACGCGGCCGTCATCGGATCCTACTGCATTAAATAATAGCGCGAAACGGTTCACCGGATTTACTTGCCACGAATGATACACACCGAGCAGGTTCATCGCTCACGCCGGGTTCTCACCAGATGTGAGCTAAGCTGCAAAGACGCTAGTGGTCGAGGGTAGCATGCTTCTTTACATCTGTCTGTGATAGGTCAGGTTACACAACAATACAGAAAGGTTGAATAGACGGCTGCACTGTAGACTACACTCTTCAGGATGAACGAGGTCGCGCCACAAGTGATGAATACTGGTAAAAGCACCTCGAGGTTTTGCTATACGGTTCGTGATCTTATCGTCGATCCCAAAGGCTCTGGTACAGCTTCCCAGGTAGTAGAATTTCTGAAGGACTTCTAGCTGATCACCACTAAGAGTCAGCGTATGGGTGGATCCCTGTCAATCTTGGAAAAGGACTTTGTATTTCGATGGCGCAAAACAGCCTGGGACGATTGACAGCCAATGCTAGTCTATTCAATGTTGCTTAGCACGTTTGTGAGTTGTCAGATTACAATAATGTCGACGGCATATTCCAAATCAATAAGCCGCTCACCCGGAAGCCGCGCCACACTTTGTAACTTGTACCCAATGAACGCTGATACATTACTTCGCCTATGTCAGGGTTAAAAGGAAAAGGTAACAGCGGACAACCTTGTAAGGCAGCGACAGTTTGCCATAAGTCCTCACACACACACACACACACACACACACACACACACACTATACACGTTAGCTAGAGGTGGGAAACACCTAAACTACTGTGCCGCAATGCCTAAAAGAATAAAGGGAATAAAATGCAACAGGTGCAAGCCGGCTGAGCTACCGGTAATGGATGGGCATCGTTCCGGTAAGCAACCTGCCGGCTACTATGCAGCATAACAAGTAATTTCCTATGGAAAATTATAAAATGCTAAATAATGAGATCGTGGTTGCAGGAAGGAGGCTAAGAGGGATAGCGTGGGACAAAGAAACTCACAGCACGAACGCTACCGAGGTCGGCTCCTTGCCATGTCAGCAACTGTGTCCAACCAAACGTGTTCATCGTCTTTCAGACCCCAAACCAAGGAGCCGAGATACTCCAACTGAGGCCAACTTCGAAGTGAGGACCTTCATTCCTCTCGACCAAGTCATCGCTTGGCCACCCCTCCTCTTCTTCCATCCACACCCCAGGCGCGTAAACAACGCACGTCGCAGGAGTCGGTGGACTGACATGCATAACACGTCGCCGAGCCATCGGAGCCTGGTACGTGAAATAACGGCGCTGAGTGGTTCATTTCCTTTTCCTGTGCCATAAACAAGACGTCGAACACGCTCGTTGCGCACGCGGTGTTCCCACCAGATGTCAGCTAAATTGCGAAGGCACTGGTGGTCGAACGTAACTAGCCTCTTCAGGTCCGCTGCTTTAAGCGGCCAGGTTTCACCACTGTACAGTAGGGTCGAAAGTACCGCTGCATCGTACACTCCAAACTTCAGGGCAAGAGTGATGTTGCGCCGCCGCCATAAGTGGCGAAGGTTATCAAAAGCGCCCCGAGCTTTTGCTATACGGTTCGTCATCTCATCCTCAATCCCACGGGCGCTGATACAACTTCTCAGGTAGTTGAACTTTTGAACGACTTCTAGCTGATCCCAACCAACGGTCAGCATAGAAGACGGTCCAGACCAACGTTGGAGGAACGCTTTGCACTTCGAGGGTGCTAAGCAAAGCCCGAAGTGACGGACAGCTAGTGCTAATCTGTCCAGTGCAGTTTGACACGTTTGTGAGCTGTCACAGATTGGGGTGATATCATCCGCATAATCTAAGTCAAGAAGTCGTTCTCCTGGGAGCAGATCCAAACCTCCTAATTCGTGTCCTGTGAACGCGATTTCCATGACTTCGTCAACAGCGAAGTTGAAGAGGAAAGGTGACATCGGACATCCTTGTCTCACGCTGCTGGAGATAGTAAAGGGCGACGACAGCTTGCCGTAAGCTCTCACTCTGCCAGAGCTACGGGCATATAATGCTCCGATAATATTCACATATTTTTCAGGTACACCTTTCCTGAGTAGATAATTCCAAAGGACACATCGATCAACCGAATCGAAGGCGCCTTTGATGTCCAGAAACCCGACTACGGTGGGCCGCCAATATGTGTGACGGTGCTCCAACAACTGACGCGAGATGAAGATGTGGTCAATGCAGCCACGACCACGAAGAAATCCAGCTTGCTCTTCACGAATCTGGCTTTCACGAGTGCCAGTCAGTCTGTGAAGGATGACAGAAGCAAGCAATTTGGAGGCGATGGACATCAGACTGATTCCTCTATGGTTGCCGCATTCCGATCGTGAGCCTCCCTTGAAAATTGGGACTATGACGGAGTTGCCCAATTGGTTGGGACAGTTTCGTGCTCCCACAGTTTCACTAGTAACTCGTGTAAATCATCCACAAGAGCAGGTCCCCCGAATTTGAAGAGGGATGCAGGAAGATCAGCAGGTCCCGCGGCTTTATTTAACTTCAACAGTTCGATCTCACGTTCGACTTCTGAGCGAGAGGGTGGATCCAAAGGAACAGCCCAGGAAGCAGGGCGATCAGTGGCCGGTGAGAAATCTAACCATTCCGAGCGATTTAATTGCCTTTTAAAGTGCTCAGCCCAACGCTCTAAGCGTTTTGATAAGTTGTGGACAGGCTGTCCACTCTCGGCACAAATTGTTTCACTAACACCAGATCTCCTGCTGCCCGTTTCCCGTATCAAACGGAATAACCATCGATGGTTACCAAGGTCAGCGACCATTTCCATCTCTGATGCACGATGAGACCACCAGGATTCGCGGTCTCTCTTCAGGCTAGCACGAATTATTGCCCGGAGCTCTTTGCCAGTCTTATTGTGTTCGCTTCCAGCCGGAATACGCCGGTGAGCATCGATAAGTTCCAGAGGCTGCGAAGAGACCCTCATTCTGACTGAACTACGCCTGTTCAGAGTAGCTCGTCTGTTGGGACAGTCTACTCCCACAGCTTCACTAGTAAGTTGTGCAAATCATCTACAAGAGCAGGTCCCCAAAATGTGAAGAGGGCTGGAGAAAGACCATTCGGTCCCCCGGCTCTGTTCACCTCCAGCAGTCCGATCTCAAACTTGAACTCTAAGCGAGAGGATGTATCCAAAGGGACGGCACATAGAACAGTGATTAATGGCTACTTGAGAAACTAATAGCTCTGGCTGATAAAATTGCTCAGCCCAACGTTTCAAGCGTCTTTACAGACTATGGATAATTTGTTCAAACTTTTCGCATATAGTCATGCTAAGACAAGGTCTCCTGCTACCCTATTCTCAAATCCGACGATGGTTACGGAGGTCGATCGTTATTTCCGTCTCTCATGCACGAAGAGATGACCAGCCTTCCCGGTCTCTCTTCAAACCAGCCCGCAGTTGCGCCCTGAGATCCTTTAAAGGCTTGTGACGTTCGTTTCCAGCCGGAATGTCACCGAGAATCTAGATGTTTCAGAGACTGTGCAGCAACGCAATGTCTTGAATGGTAAACAAATTCGCTCTTCCATAACCATGACGTGCTTGGATATCAAGCCTTTCTTTTCTCTAAAGCCTGGCTTGAGAACAGTGTCTGAAGGATATCTTACAGAAGCTCTCATTTGCGGGTTTCTCGTTCGTTTGAGGATTGCTTGGGATATTCTCTTCGATCCTCACAGTGTCCAAAATCATTTCGGAAATTCTCATTCGAAGGATTTCTTGTGAAGAACCTTGCATTTTGTGAATCTTCCACCGTTACGGAGATACTGGATCGATACTCGTCTGTTAGTTACAATATCCGAATCATGCAAACTCAAACACGAGACAAAGGCTTTCCTCGAAAACTTTGCTTAAATAAAGGATAGAAATTTAAGTTAGATGCTGTCTTGGCGGACACCTGCCTGTTGTAATATGATGAGTGTAATTCAGTCCAAACGGGTCAATCCAGTTACTATCTGATCGGGGCTCGGGTCGAGTGCATAATAGGCTGAAGATAACCGGTTCACACCTAACTTGTCTTTTATTCATCCATATTGATCATTTTGCAAGCATGGTAACTGGGCCCACTACCCAGTCTTTCACGGGACCTTCATCCGAACAGCAGCGCGGTGTAGCAAAGAATGCTCATAATTTGTTACTGATTCGTCAAGTGGTATGTAGCGTAACATCTGCAGTCGTTGGTTCCATGAAATGTGCACCTGGTTAGATAAGAAGCATTACGCCCGGCTTGCCGAGAACGAGAAGCTGCTCCAACCACACCCCATATTCGATGTAAACCCGAAGGAATAAGACCGGAAGGCATGTGGATGGGAGCCACGTTTCACCAACGGAGCCGGTCCACACCTCTTCACAGGCAACTACAAGCAAATTGTATTTTGGAATCAAGCGCA